CCTAGTGAGATGGACTGTGCCCTGTAAGGAGGGTGCGAATCCCAGATTGTGCAGAGCTGTGGACCGCCCTGTAAACAGGGTACAGGTCTCTGTGCCTTTGAGGGCAGCTCTGTTCTTGGTCTGGCTGTGGGCCCCCCTGCAAGCAGGGCCTTGGGCCTTTCCCTTTTGCCCTCTGGACAGTGTGCCTAGTGAGATGGACTGTGCCCTGTAAGGAGGGTGCGAATCCCAGATTGTGCAGAGCTGTGGACCGCCCTGTAAACAGGGTACAGGTCTCTGTGCCTTTGAGGGCAGCTCTGTTCTTGGTCTGGCTGTGGGCCCCCCTGCAAGCAGGGCCTTGGGCCTTTCCCTTTTGCCCTCTGTGGACAGTGTGCCTAGTGAGATGGACCGTGCCCTGTAAGGAGGGTGTGAGTCTCATGTCTTTTGGTGCAGGGCTGGCTTTAGCAGAGCTGTGGACTGCCCTGTAAGCAGGGTCCAGGTCACAGTGTGCCTTTGAGAACAGCTCTGTCCTTTGCCAGGCCTGACAGCCCCCCCTGTAAGCAGGGCTGTGGGCCTCCTCTCCCTTTTGCCCCCCGTGGGCAGCCTGACTAGCCAGCCGGGCCGGGCCGGGCCGGGCCCTGTAACGAGGGCGCCGGTGTCTGCCTTGTCGCCCCCTGGGAGCGGAGGAGGATTTTCAGTGTAAGGTTCGAGGTCAAGCAGTTTGCAGCATCGAGCTCCTTTCCAGCCTGGGAACACTTTTTCCCGTGTCAGTGTGTGGAGAGCGAGAGAGAGGAGTGCCTGGGAGCGAAAGCGTTTGTTATTTTCTTTTTGTTGTTAAAATCGCTGCAGCGTACTTAATTTTCTTCCCAGTGCTGGGAAAGGGGCGAGATGCATCCTCGTAGCCTTCTCCTCCCACCTCCATACCTAGGGGGACAGATTTCCAGGCCTTTTGGTCTCGGGGAGCGTTAGGCCCCCTGTCTAATACTTTTGGGCACACGGCCTCCCTGTATGTCAGGGTACAGGCCTTAGGTCCCCTCTTTTTGGGTTGCTTTGGGCACTTGCTAGCTCGATTGCAGTTCCTGCCCTCCTTGAGAGACAGCCACGTATTCTCCACCCGAGTCCCTGGGGACCAGTGCCCTGGCACTTGGTCAACTGTTCCTCTGCGCCCCCGACCCCGGCCTGCAGCCTGTAAGCAGGGTCCAGGCCCCCTTGTCGGCTCTCGTCCCACTCGGTGAGGTTGGCCACAGATGATCCCCGCAGACTGCAGGGAAGGTTGCAGGCTTGTGGAGGATGCTGGGTGCGCTGGGACCCCTGAGGCTTCGTGACCTTCCTGTAACTCAGGTCCAGGTCTCTGCTCTGCTGCTCCTGGCACCATTGAGATGGTCTCCTCTCGCACCCTGTAATCAGGGTTGTGCCCCCCCAACCCCTCTGATTTTGGGGGAGGAGGCCTCCTTTAGCCCTTTGGGCTCTGTGGCAGCCGTGATGGGAGGCTGAAGTCATGGCCTTTGTGTCCCCAGACACGGGGCTGCTTTGAGCCCTGATTGAGACCACCTGAGGCACCCGTCAGCTGGCATTCAGGGCTTTACAGGTTTTCCCTGGGCTTCATGCCCCATAGCCAGCTGTGTGCAGGTAGCACCGCCCTGTAAGCAGGGTTGCCGGTGTCGGGTCACCTTCATGGTGCCATCCTAGCACTTCTGTCCGGAGTCCTGGCCCGTCGCACTCTGCTCCTGGCTGGCCCAGATGTCAGCAGCCGAGCCCGCAGACGTCTGCCCTCCCCACTTTCTGCGGACAGAGGACAGCGGCCACAGGTCCAGGTAAGGGTAAAAGAGGGAGAGAAATTGGGGCCTGCAGACCCATCTTCCATCGCGCTGACTTACATCCCGTTTCTGTCTTGTCCTTTTTGCCTCCAGAGGAAGAAGCAGAGAAGACAACAGACAAATAGGAGTTAACCTATAACCAGGACAGAAAAC